ATTCTGGGAGTTGAAGTCCACTCATCTTAAAGTGGCCATGTTTGGACAACACTGCTCTAGATAGAGAACCAAAGTGATCTTTGCAGAGAATTTTTGAAGTGATGCCAGAAGCAGCATTTTGCCCATTGGCTCAATTATCTTATGACATTTAAAATATATTGGATCACTGAAACACCTTCTTAATTCTTAAAACAAAACTGCACATAGACAACAACATACAATGATTTTAATACACACACAGAATGTATCTTTGTCTTGTCTATCCAGACAGAAAATCAAGTGAGTTTTTGAAAATAAGTATACATTTCAATCTGCTTACAAAAAAGCCAAGCTTAACAACCTCTCACATACCTGTAAGGTATTCCACCAACTCAGATACTTAAACCCTGAGCTTGATACAATTCTTCTATCACTTCCAACCTAACTCAAAGGTAGGGAAAATGGCTGGACAATTCCTCTGAATGTTCAAGCAAAAGGAGAAATTCTTCAACCATGTTTCAAGAGCAGGATTTCTCCTTAGGGGTGACAGAAGCATCACAATTAAAAAGAAATTTGGGAATGTGTTTCCTTCTGATGTCTTCCCTTGGCTGAATGGAAGTATAAGATGTCAGTGGAGAAGGGATTGCACTGTTAGAGACAAGACACCCATAATACACTCCTTGGCCATCGTGAAACAGGAGAGAATTTCTTCTCCTCTGAAATAAATGTGGACAGCCAACTCTTTCATCAGAGTGAGTGAGAACTGATAGAATGGGGAGAAGGGAGAGGGAGAAAAAGAGAAGAATTTCCTTCTCCAGTACTAAAACTGTGGCCCAGCTCCCTTTGATATAAGCATCTAGAAACTAAAACCCCAAATTAAAAACCATATTGGGCAGACTCCACAAATGAAGTCAAATAGTGGGCACTTCTCTTCCAGGTGTAAAATAGAGATTAAAAAATAGAAGGAAGAAATACCTACCGGGATTGGAGCTTCATTGTTTGCTGTAGGGGTCAACATGCTGCTATTGGTGACAGACTTTTTGGGAAGCTGAGGGCTCACTTCAGCTTTGACCTCCATGCTACTTTTGGAGGAGCTGTCGTTCACTTCGTTTTCTTCCACGGGGATCTCCTCACAGTAACTAAAAGAACAAACTAAATCCAGGATCAATCCCATAATTAGTCTTCCTATTAAGCACTGAAGAATAAGAGTTATGGAATAAAAAGGTTCACTTTACAGTGTAGCTGAGATCGCCATAAGGAGAGTCCAGGGAAGCTTCAATTGTTGTCTTCTTCTTTTCTTTTACTTTGACACACCTATTTTCTAGCCAACTTCCATTCTAGAACATTTACACTTTGGCTCCCACATCTCCCGCACAGCAAAGTATCAGTCTTAGAGGAGGGGAGACAATGATGCCCCCCTAGGGTCTTCTGAAGCTCTCAAAGGTTTTTGAATCTTTCAAAACACAGCCAGGCTCCTAACATTTCAAACTGGAGGAGATGCCAATTCTCTGTGCATTTTATTTGGTAGAATCTCTGCTTAAATGGTCATTAGCGTACGTTCATGGAAATTTAGCAATTTTGCCCACAGAGTGAGCAAAATTGGGCCAAGTAGTCATTTTGGGTCTTTGGGAAAGCACTTGATCAAATAATCCATGGTTATTCCTTGGCTGTATAAACCACAAATATCTTTTTAATCAGATTGCCAACAGCAACACTTCCCATTCTTTCTCACTCACTCTTCTCTAGATTATTTGGCGCAGGAAACATCTGGCAGCAGCAGACCTCCTTTCCTCCATGAAGATCTCAGAGAGGAAGCTGATTGTATTTTCCAGGAGGCAATATTATTTTAAATATTGTTGGTTTGTGACCTAAGAATGCCCTTTATGTATGAACAGACACACACACACACACATATTTATACATATGTATCCATTGAAGAAATATGATGTTGTGTCACATTCTAACAGCCAGAAATGCTGGTTTGGCCAATCTCACTGTCCAAATCCATCATTCCTGGTCCACTAGAGTATTGAGGGTATTCCTGGTTTGTGAGCATTCATTATTGACATGTTTCAATCTTGTTTCCATACTTTGCTTTAGGCAAGTGGGCTTACCCCATTGTGTTGAAATCTTCATCAGGAGGGACGTAGTCTTCATCATCACTTGTCAGCCCTAGCTCATTACCGTAACATTGATGTACGAAATGCCAAAGCTCCTTTGGACACAAAGGCTGGAGGGGAGCAAGGCAATGAATTAGTATCTCCCATGGAAAGCAATTAAGCAGCCAAACCAACCCCTACTTATGGCTCCAAGCACTCATCTTGCTTAACTCATAACAGCTTGAAGAACATGGCTGCCCAAATGGAAGTCAGGAGATGTGGACGGGCGTACTTGCAAAGAAAAAAAAATGTTCACAGCATGGCAATGTGACTTTGGAAGCCTCAGCACACCATCTTACAGGAAGCTCTGAACAATGGAGCTACAGTTTAAGCTCTTCCCCCCTCCTTCTTTTGTTTTTAAATGCATATGATAGTTATCCAGGGAAAAAGTAATTCGAATCCTGCAGCTGTGTTTGTGTGTGTGTTCGCTGATTCATCCCTGGAGGCATTAGACTGAATACAAGGCTTCCATTATTGCAAAGGGTTACACTTCTCAAAAATTAGTATGTGAAAAAGGTTAAGCACATCACTAGCCTGAAAAGGGTAGGGAAGGAAAGAGAAAATACGTTCTTGGAAGCCAAATCAAGCAGCTATTTGGATGAACACAGCAGCAATTATATGAGTTATCAGATCACCTCAAAGCAGCAAGAAGAGAGGTGAGAACAGAGGACTGGGATGAGGAACCTTGCTCTACACCCCGCAGATTTGCTCACTTCAATCTGAATCCTGCACGCTTTATGCTGGAATTTTTCTAGCCACTGTTGGAATTGGGCAACAAGCTTGTTTCCTTGTATCAAATGGCCCATGGGGATAATACTGAAGGATCAAGTCTGATTGCTAACCTTCAGCCAGAGGAAAAGCCAAGAAGAATCACTAGGAGTCTATATAACCCACAGACAAGGGCAGACAACAAGCATCTGGAATTTTGAGAAGATGCTAGAGGCACTCTCTTAATATGACGGCCATGGATCAAGAGGCCAATCAGAGATATTTGTCAGAAGGTCAACTTGTTCTCTACCACCTTCTTGGCCTTCCAAGATAGCTGCTACAATTCTAGGGACTTTCCCCCTCTCCCCTATTTTTGGTTCAGTGGGTAAGCCTATTTCCACAGAAAGCACGAAGCTGCTTTACCCCACCATTTTCATAGCCCCAAAATGCTGTGGTTCTAAGGTGCCAAGAGGTATCTGCAGCATACTGCTTCCTGGCATAATTTTATTCTTAAATTTAAGGAAAATCTAAGAGAAGAAAAAGTAAAGTCAGGTGGGGAAGGGAGTTGGACACACACAGCAAAGTTTTAGTGGGCACACTGACGTCCCAGGCTCAGTGTGTTTCCTGTCCTGACTTAAAACGTGTAAACAATGTTATATAAATGTTTGGGTTGCTCTGAGAACATACTCTGTTCCTCTACCATATGGGGAACTCAAGTTTGTTTATTTTTGGCACTGCTTTTAATTCATCCCTATCCTATCCCACCTCCCACAATAAGCCTTCATACTTCGTACCTTATCAAGGAGAGCATTCTGCCAGAGGCGGAACATCATCATATACGTCCTATCCCGGGCACCAAAGGAAGTGAAAAAGTGCTGTGAAAAGCAGAGATTTGGGGGTGAGAGCAGGGATCAAGATTGCATTCAACTACATTAGCAAAGAGAAAGAGAACCAGTGTACACAATATGGAAGTTGAGACGCTCTGCCGTAGCAAAACAGTAAATAATTTACACTGGGCCGCTTTATTACATTATCTCCTTTAATTCATTTCCTAGCAGCTGGGTGGTCTGCAGAACAGAAAGTTTGCTCCAAAGTGGTTCAAAGCTAAACATTTTTCCAGCACTCAGCCAACAATCATGTCATGCTTGCACAGAGTACAACTGATGCCCAGATTCTATTAACCTTCTCCAGGTCATTATTATTCATGGATTCAGTCCAATTAGTGTATTATGGAGCACTTTAAGGAGATTTCCCAACCAAAGAGACAAACTCAACAATCTAAATTTCCAAAAAAAGATGGGATCAAGTGAGGGTGTATAAGCCTTGGAAGACAGACAAATGTACAGCACCTTCCCACACAGTCTGCTCAGAAATAAGGCAACCCACAATCGCAGCCTGGTCCTTTCTCTCAAAGAGGAATTAGGATCTAGGTGATATAAAGGCTCTGTGGGAAGGAGATAAGCAGAACTCTTCAGGGTAGAGACGTGTTCTGCTGGCCTCGCACAGAAAGTGCCCTGATTTTGCCACCAGTAAACAAGTTTTGCAAGGTTTTGCACTGTCCCTAAACTTTGGAAAAACTTGTTAAACTGGTGGTAGCCATGAGGCAAAAGAAAGTCCTACCACAGGAATTTTAAGCCATTTTCAGCTCTTCAAAAACCCCGCATGCTTCTTGACAAACTGATTTTTGAGCCACTTGACTATAAGAATTTAATGCAGCATCAGTCCTCTCACAGATTCCCTCCTCTCTCAACTCCCAGACCTGTCCTGCAGAGAAGTCTTCTGCTCTTGCCACTGTCCAATAGGAAGATAGTAGAACGTACCTTTTCAGTGTCTGTGCAAACTTGGATAGCATTAGGAATGAGCCGTGCAGTTTTTTCCTTGGTCATGGTGCAGATGTCCTTCAAACGGACGGTCAACTGTACCAACAAATAACGGGTCAGATCAATAATGGGAAACCAGGAGGGTAAATGCAACGTTTCAGGATGATCCATGCCAGAGAAAGTCAGTGGGGTGGGGTGGGAAAGAAAACTCACCAATGTTTCCCAGCGGAAGATGTTGCTGTAGAAACATATCCAATTTTCAGAGAGGTAGAGTCGACCTTGCAAGAGAATATCTCTTTGAAGTGCACAAGAGTAATCTGTAGGAAAGCCAGAGGGAGTGACAGTTTGCAGCAAAAATGATAAATATTTATAAAGAAACTAAAAATAACCCAGGTGCTGCTGTTGTACATGGTAGAAAGTAAACACAGCCCTGTTGGGTTGCTTGCAGTCTAAATAATGACAGCAGAAAAACAAATTTGGGTGGGGCAGGGGAGATAAATAAATGGAGAAGAAAAGCAGTTATGATATTTTGGCAGCAGAAATTATTTAAGCATCTTTCAGACAGGGGCCAGTTATAAAGATAATGGACGGACTATACATTAGACCAGTAAAAATAATATCATATAAGCATCAGTGATGTTCTTTTTCACTGCCAATTAGTCTTGCAAATATGTTATGAACGGGCTGTCAAACCATGAGGATAGGGTGGAATGAATTTTTCCGGTGTATTTTTCTATAGTAACAAGAATAACAAGGTCAACTAGAAGGTAGCTATTTTTTGGGGGAAAAAAAACTGGCTAAAGGAAGACCAAATAAATAAAAAATAAAAATAGATGGGTGCTCACAGATGTCTCTGCTAGTGGTACAACCGATCTTTTCGTGACCATGACTGATTCCAACCAGCGCTCCCAACTCGTCCGGCATTTTAAATCTTTTTATGAGCTCCTTTTAGCTTACAAAGGAAATGAATCATTCATACGACAGAGTTTGTGCTTTGTCAAGGTATGTTCAAAGTCTGCCCTGAAGATTCCACAAACTTACTCACTCTCTCCACGCTTAAAAGATATATTTAATCCGAATTCTTTCAGCAAAGGTAACACAAGAGCAGCAAGTAAACGTTTTCTCTCGCTGAGCTGTGTCTTCATGCCTCCTATCATATTAAGTACATTCAGTGGTAGGATACCCACGGAGAGGAATTTATACATTTACAGTTTTCCCAACTGTTCGATGTTAATAGAATAATATGACTTGCAAAAAAGAAAGCACCCAGATTATGCAGGCCAAAGTAAAAAAACATAAAATAAAAAAGCTGCTTTCTATTTTCATTCCTGGGCATGTAAGAATAATATTGAGATAACAAATATAAAATATTTAGAGCCGGTTTGGTCTAGTGGTGAAGGCACCAGGCTAGAAACCGGGAGACAGTGAGTTCCCACCTTAGGCATGAAAGCCGGCTGGGTGACTTTGGGCCAGTCCCTCTCTCTCAGCACAACCCACCTCACAGAGTTGTTGTTATGGAGAAAATAGGAAGAGGAAGGCGTATTAAGTACCTTTGCCACCTTGAGTTATTTATAAAAATAATTTTAAAAGGTGGGATAAAAAGATCTAAAAAAAAAATAAACACAACCCTGATAGCTACCAGCAAATAAAACCTTATTTTCCACAAGTGTGGCTACTTCTATTAGTTTTTGCTTTTGTTCTTATACCTTGGAGAAAACCATATACATAGTATTCGGATGACTTCAACGTACAGAATAACGTAGAAAATAAATGAAAATGAAGCAGACGTAAACCAATGCAAGGGGATTAAAAAATCCGTTCATTCACCTCAGGACCCAAACTTTTGCTGCATGATGGTCTGACTTGCCAATTATTGGAGAGGTAATTGAACATGTATTAACTATGAAAAAACCAAAGTGTGGGGTTTTGTAAGACAGATAACTACGTGATGGCCTCTTGCTTTGGTGGATATGAGCTCCTTCTGTAAAATGATTTCTGGACATTCACAGTAACCAAAACTGAATATGTCTATAATGTTATCCTTCATTTCTTCCTTAGTTCATGCCTAAACAAGGAAAACCTGGTTATCCCAAATTCCACATTTTGTGAAATCCCAGTAAGTAATGTTTCCCTTGATTAGTTTCAAATAACCTTCTTTGTCGCCTTCCAAAAGGCACGATGAGGAAAGACTCTGACTTGAGTTTCTCCGAAGTGCATCGCCTGGAGGTCGGCATACATTTTTGGCTCAGATTACAACCAATCCAGCTATTATCTTCTTTGCGTAATTAACCATATTTTATTCACTTTTGTACTGAAGGAAAGAAAGCTCTTCTTCAAATACGATATTTAGGGCAGGGGCCTACATATGTAACTCTCACGTAACTGGAATTTCAGATGTTTTACCATTTCTGTTCACTGCCGCCTCTGTTTGGATTTTTGATACGCAGGAGCAAATGCCTTTATCTGAATTTTCTTACAGAGGACAAATTAAAGAAGAGGGTGATGGAGTGTTTACTTGATACGTTAATGCAAAGCCAACGATGCCTATATCCTAACCAACTAATACATTTTATCCTAATCAATTAATAATTTAATTAAATTAATAATAGTTCCAATGTGAACTTATTGACTGAAATAACAGACTGAGACTCCTATTAGAGAAAACGTTATTTTAGCTAAGGCAAACACACTGGTACCCAGAATGACATTGCTCAAAACTTCCTACTCCACACTGTTTACCTTGCTGTTTTTTTCTTCTTGGAGAATCTGATTAATAAACGTTAATGCGCTGATAGTATAAGCAACACTTTATCACTCTATCTTATATATAATCTATCAACCCATATAACTTTCCTCTTAAATAACAATATATTGTTATTAATATATTGTTATTAAGTAAGAAGACCCTAAAGTAGGATATGCCTCTACCATCCACAGATCTTTGCTGTTTCCTCTTCCAGGAGAAATGTTGTTCCAAGCTAGTTCCTGAAGTAGGTGGATGAACAGACGGGATGGAACAAAACCTGACCTGCTCCTGGGATCAGCTTTATTTGATGTTTTTAAACTATCTTAATTCAAGCTAAAAGCCAAACTCCATGTTTTTCACACTTGTGCATCCATAACTTCTAAAAACAAGAGGTGTGGGAGGGGAGGCCTAATCTATATTGTTACCGCCATTGGAGAGAGAAGGGTGACCAGAACTGGCTGCAGAAATCCAGATGGCATTAGAGGTCAGCAAAGAAATGCAGAAAACTCATTTTTCGCTGACTTCCAGTCATGGTGTAGATTTTGGCAGCCAAGGTACTGCAGAAGAGAGCAGTAAAGATGCCCTAAAGAATCAAATGTTTGCTGTTAATTGTTAACGGATTAAATGGAGTTTCATTAGGTTTAGCCCTTAAAGTAGTCATAGATAAAAAGAAACATTACTTTTGTTTGCTTGGAAAGGGGATACGGCATATTTTACTACAGTCTGTTAACTAGTTATCCTTGACTGACATCAAGTTGGTTTACATATAACTTTCTTTTCCTTGCTGTTGGAAGTAAAGTTCCTCCTTGGATGTGGAGTCCAGTAAACCATGTCTTTAAAAAGACACAGAACATATAATGTGGTATCAGACTTTGAGCTGATTAGGTGATAAGAGTAACAATCATTACAGTACAAGTCACTCACATCTCTGATTTTAACAGTTCAGAGGCCAAATTTTCCTTAAATATCAAAAATATTTTTTCTGGAATGTTTTACAGCTTGAAAATACTAACATATTTTCATACTAACATAACTGACGGATTATAATATCTCTTGGCTGCTATTTGTATTTAATTTCTTTTCGTATTGTGTTTTAACTGGTTTTATGATCGTTCGCCGCCCAGAGTCACTGTTTAAGACGGGCAGCTATACAAATCAAATAAACAAACAAACAAATAAATATTACTCACATAATTGTAGAGGCAACTGGATTGTTATATTATTTCAGCCTCTTTTTTTGTAAAATGTGTAAGGCAGCAAAACCTCAGATTTTCAAACAAAGCAATGTTTTAAAAAGCTTTTATTATTAGGTATGTTTGCCGCAAAGAAAGGAAGGAAGGAAGGAAGGAAGGAAGGAAGGAAGGAAGGAAGGAAGGAAGGAAGGAGAGAGAGAGAGAGAGAGAG